TAAGGGCAGCCTATACTTTTAGTTAAGCCCTACTTTGGATCAAGCCCCATTAGAATACAGAGGCTACTCAAGAGATTTTTGTGCTGTCAGCAACTTAGGAAACGAGGCAGCAAGACTTCGAGTATTAGGTCCTACTCTTGTGCAGCTCATGTGGCAGCCGTCGACACTGTTAACACCCTGACTTCTTGCCTGTCTCTACACTTGCTTCCCACTCTTGCACTTCTGCACACTGCCCCAAGCCCCGGGATGGCATATGCTCTTCCTCTGTTCTGCAGCCCTTAGGCCCAGACCTCCCTACCAGGTGAGGTATTGACTGAAATCACCCTCTGCTTGAGAAGTCACATGCTCTATTTCTAGGGTTGGTTTCAGCTAACATGTTGTCACAGAAGTTCTGATCAGTATCTTTACTTTTCTCCCCATCCCCTCCAAAAAAGAATCTGAGACTTGTTCTAATCAGCCTTTCAACTCACATGTCATTGTCCAGCACCTGATTCACTAAGTACGCGGAGCCCTTACGTAAGACTTACATTCACATCATTTACGAGGGCTTTGCTTAGTCCACCTTCTTGAAGCTGAGTTACCCTGGAGCTCACGGATCCTAATTCCATGTCTTGTTATAGTTCGAGCTTGTGCCAACATCTCAAGTATTTAAGGACTGTCTTATGCACCTTCAGTCCCCATTTCCCCCATTGCTCCTTATTAATGAAGTTTTAAGGACCTGGTTAGAGTGTACAAGAGCTGTTTCTGAACCCTTAAAGGAAATGCACTGGCTTCTGAAAACCATTTGGAGGTTTGACCAATAAGGTCCCACTTAGAAGTCCCTATTTACTGGCTTGTGGGTCATTCAGGTATCCTGGTTGGATGGCAAATTATCAAGATCTGGACAAGTTCTTTGCTGCCTCCCTCTGTGGGGTATTTACTGCTGCTAAGAGATATGCATGCACGTTGTGAGGTCAGTTTTCTCTTCCCACACTTATGTGGGTTCCATGCATTGAACCTGGGTCACAATGTTAGCATAGCAAACCATCTGGTCACGAGTGTTTATTTATCTCTACGCTAAGGGTGTTCAACTTTCTGTGGACTCCTTCCTTTCACTTTCCTGCATGCCTTAGAAGCTTAAAATATGCTGTGCTTGGCAGTCACACTGAGCAAGGTTGGTTTTATTATACTTCCAAGGATCCCAGGCTTGGCTTTGTTATATGCCTCTCTAGCAGTGTGTTTAAATAGGATGTGTGTGTGTGTGTGTAGCCCTGAATTCAATATCAACAAGACAGGAGTGAAAAATATTTTTTAATAAATATATTTTTCTAGCATCCTACTTACACTGAAAAATTTTTCAGGAAACCTAATACACCATACTTCTAAAAACAGAAGCCTGAATATTAAAAAAGGACCCACACTAATCCTAAAAGAAGGATTAAGATGAAAACTAGAAGAGCCAAAGAGATGGCAAAGCTAGGTGAAGAGCACCAATAAAACAGTTTTTGTTTGAAAATGCCACAATGAGAGAAAACAAAACAAAAAGATGAGACAAGAAGAGCACAGGAAGTGACCGGAATGTGAACAAGTGTCCCACCCGTATTTTCTGTCCTTGGGCACATTACAGCATTTGGACTGTTTGTCCATTAGCACTAGAGATACTCAGGGAATGGCAACTAGACCAAAACAAAAACAGCCTCTGTTTCTTCAAAATTGGAAGTGCCTGTCTTGCTGCAACAAAACAGAAATGGACAGACAAGTCCAGTAGTACCGGAACTAGAAAGACCAGCTGTCACACACACAAAATGCTGGAAACACCTACATTCCCAGCAGCATGATGGACTCTGTCACTGCTCACTTGTGGCTTTTCGGGTCTGGCCACTGCATAGTATGCAATAAAAACTCAAAACGGTAGCAATTATCTACCTTGCTTCATCAGCTTGCTTTCTGTCTGGCACTAATCCTGGGTGAAATAGCTGAAGAACAGTTAGGTAGAACAAAACTCAGAAAGTCTGTCCTCTGACGTTTGTTTCAGGCAGTCTATTCTCTCTCACGTTTTTGTTTTGTTTGGTTGGTTTTTCAAGGCAGCCTTTCTCTGCATGGCCCTGGCCCTCCTGGGACTCGCTCTGTGAACAAAGCTGGCCTCAAAGTCACAGAGATCCGCCGGCCTGTGCCTCCCAAGTGCTGGGATTAAAGGCGTGTGCCACTATGGCCGCCATGTTTATATTTTCTTGACTAGGCCCTCTCTTTGGAATGATTTATTTTCATATCTGAACTCTTTGGCTTTCGACAATGAAGCCACTTGGCTCATTCCACTTGCTAGTGGAAGTACCCTGTGTGGCAAAAAACAGTTCATTATTTCATAGAGCAGGACATTCTTTCAGCCTTAAAAGGCACCACATTCAGGGATAGCCTGCCCTTGGCAGCCCGGAAATTACCCGGACGGCCTGCAAGAAGTGCTAGAACTCAGAGGCCTCGGGCCAGCCTCTGTACTTCTTTTGGAACAGCTGTTTCCTTACATGAATTACCTTCTTGTGGTTATCATCACGTTATCTGTACTCACTACTATTGCCAAGGGAGTTATTCAGTCATCAAATAACTCCACATTGAAAATAAGGAAGTGAAAAAGAAAAATAAAATAAAATAAAAAAGAAAATAAGGAAGTGTCCTAGAGTAGGGTTTCAAGTTAGATGGCCACACATATCAATCACTATGTCACTTCACAAGGTTCAGAGACCAAGCAATGAATCAACATGGGCATGTGTTGTAGTGTTGGTATAAGTACCCATGGTCTTGTGCCCACAGGCAGTCAGTCACTCTACCTCAGAGCTATAGGCCCATTCTCCAGAAGCCTGTGGAGTAAAGCTGGTCTTTTTAATTTTCTGAGATAAGAATCTGGCAAAGGACAGCCTTAGACTTATAGCAGTCACCATGCTTCAGCTTCCCAAATGCTACAATTACAGTCATGTTTCACCACACCCAGTTTTGGAATTATTTTTGACCAACAGTCCAGGTAATCCTTATTAGAATTACTTACTTATAAGAATCACTTACTCAGGTCCACAAACTAGATCTACTCATTCTATAATCTAAGTCCTAAGGGGATTGCTTTCGGTTTAGAGGACCAAGTCACAATTATCTGTGACTCAGTTCTGAGGGGATCTGATACCCTCTCTGACTCCCAAAGGGGAACCCACATAACTGGCACACACTAATACAGACATACAACCATACATATAAAGTAAGAAAAATATTACTAAGAAAAGAAGTTGGAGAGATGGCTCAGCAGTTAACACTGGCTGCTTTTCTAGAGGACCTCGGTTCTGTTTCCAGCACCCACACGACACCTTACAACCATCTACTGTAAACTCCAATTCTAGAGGATTGAACACCCTCTTCTGGTCTCCTTGGACACCGCATACATGTGGTGCAAGACAGAGATTCATGCAGACAAAAACCCATACACATAAAGAAAACTCTAATTTAAAAACCTACAATAAAAAAGCCACTAAAGAGGAACAAATCCCAAAGGTTTCCTAATATTATTATGAGCGAGAAGTATCAAGAGGCCTCAAAAGCATTGTCAAGTCTGTTAAGAAACTACCTGAAAATCAGGTGTGGTGACACAGGCCTATAATCCCAGGACCTGAGAGGCAGAGGCTGGAGGATAGCCACAGTTCAAGGTCAAACTGTACTATATAATAAGATCTAAATTAGCCAGGGCTATACAGTGAGGCCGTGTCTTTAAAAAAACAAACAAACAAACAAACAAACAAACAACCAAACAAACAAAACATACAAAGCTTTTATAGTCAGTCAGTACAGCATTTCATTTTAGGTATGGTCATGAATACCTGTTTCACTGACTGACCCAGATGACCCAGGCTGGTGTCTGCCATCTGAATGCTGGGATTAGTGGTATACACCACCAGGACGGATCCAAACCTTTGAAAGCTACGTGTGGCTACACATGGTGATAGTCACCACAGTCCCAGCACTGAGACAGCAGGAGACTCACGAGCAAGGCCAGTTTGCAGGAGGGTTTCCATCTAACTCAATACCAGTGAGGAAAAAGTTGTTGACAAATGACCAGGTTTTCCCACATGGATTAAAAAAAACAAAAACCTTGCAACAGAGATGCTAACATTTGTGGCTTTGTATTTTATTCTTACGGTCTATGACTACAAGTTTCCGTGCAAATCTAGCCTTAGTCTACACAGCTACAGCCTGGTCTCACTACCCAGACGCTCCTACAATGTAGCGATCGTAGTCTATTGCTGAACACAGCTGAACAAGCGTAACTGAGTATGTGACTGTACAAGAAGCATTCCACACAAATTTTCTCAAGGTATTTAAATTATATAACAGGAAATAAGGACCCTGAGGAACTGTTTTCCCATGAGTCCGAATCTTTGGTACCTGCAGTGAAGATAACCCCCAGTGATCTGGTTTCTGTGCCCCACCTACAGCTTAGCAGGATGTCCTCCTATCCAACAGCCCGAGCAGCTGACAGTGCTCACGCAGAGGACACTTACTAAGGTGGCAGCCAGGACTGCTGGCTTCTCATCTTCTAGATTTCATGTGCTGAGTTCAGAAGAGCCATGGGTTGAGAGAGCTTTGCCCAGGGTTGGTTTTGTCAGATGATGCGCAAGAACCATAGAGAACAAGGAAGCCATCAGCCTGTACTCTTTAGTTTCTATCTCTAATAGCAATGTGTTCTCCTGCTCTACATCAGCCACTGATTATTATATTATTATTATTTTATTTTTTTTTTTTAAGACTCTGAGGTGAGAGTGTTCCAAAGAATGTTCCTTTTTAAAATTTGGGACTGAAACTAAAGTAAACCCATCCTGAGACACAACCTTCTTCTGGCTGCTCTGGAAAAAAAAAAAAAAAACAACAACAACAACAACAACAACAAAAAACAAACCAAAAAAAACCACTGACACCAAAATAACCAAGATGGAAAGGAGGGAAGAAATATAGCTTGAGGTGAAGAAATGACACACACCTCCCACATACACACTTTAAAAACTTTATTTATATAAAAAACTCATTTGTTTTTAAAAGCATTAATAAGAGAGGAAGAAAAAGAGAAGAGAGACAGAGCAGAAGACACGGCCCTTAGTAGTGTTCGCTGGGAAGGCAGGATTTTTGGTTTGCTGAAACTGAATGTTTAGTGTTTTTATAAATGAAAGAGGAAAAACAAAACAAAACAAACAAACAAACAAACAGTAAAAGGTCCCCAAAAGCCCATGGCTAGTCTATTACCCACACCCCACCGAGAAAAAAAGAGCACCAGGAAGAGCAGAGGAGGACAAGAGAAACAAGACTAGAGCCAGGTCTGGGTTGGGGAGGCTTCCCTGTGCAGTGGACTCTGAGGGTCATGGAGAGCGGAACGCTCCTTTTTGCCAGAAAAGGTGAATGGGACTACAAAGAATTGGGAGGGAAGCAAAAGGTTTCAAAAAAAAAAAAAAAAAAATTATAATGCATAAGGAGGAAGGTTGGTAGACTGTGTACTTTTCTCCTACCCCATAGCCTCAACAGATTAAGGGGCAGGACAGGAGGGACGAAGAATTCCAGTTGCATGAATAGAAATTTTAGATTAAGGAAAGAAGGCAAGTAAGGAAAAAAGTTAAAAACAAAACAAACAAAAGCCCACAAGTAGCTGATTCTCTAGCCCAATCTGTAACATTCACTACAGCAGGAAAGGGTGTAATGGAGGCAAAAGACGTGGAGAGAAACCCGACTCTCTAGCCTTTCAGAGACGAGGGGAGCTGGGACAACTATGGAGTGAGAGTGACCGCACACCCTCCTAGCAGCCTCACACTGAGACTTACCAGGATGGGATTTTCACCAGTCCCAACTGTACACTGGTGAGCAGAAGGCCGTGTGGCTAAATCAGAGGCTAGCACAATCCCCAACGGGGACTTACAGGTCCCCTGGTCCCACTCCTCTTCCTTCCTTCAGCTACTGAGGGTCAACAGCAGGAAAGAAAAATAAAATCAAACTTGAGAAATCATGAGAAATGAGACTGCAGAGGCAAAGAAAGGCACCTAGAAGAGAGGAAGGAGATGCACCCCAGGCCAAAGGCACAAAGAGGAGGCAAAGCCAGGGCAGCTCCTACCTTAGAAGGGCAAAGGGGGCAGGAATTATGTACAAGTCTTGTAGTTGGCCAACAAATCCAGAGAGGGGGAGAGGGAGAACAAGCCTATAAAGGAAGAAGAGAAAGGGGCCGGGAGGCAGGGCAAAGCCAGCTTTGAAGCTTCCTGCCAGTTTCAGACTAACCACTCAGTGTATGTCCTTCTAGCTCCTCCTAGAAGGTCATCTTCTCCCCAGTAGACAATCTTCCTGATTCTTCTCAACCAAGAAGTGCTCCGTGGCATTGTCCTTTTTACATAGCATCTTGCAAACAGCCGGGTCAGGTTAGCAGATTTATCACAGGGTAGGAGAGGAGGGTTAAGGACAGCCTTGGTCAGGGCAGCACCCCAAGGCTGTCCTGAAGCTCCCAAGAAGAGATGGAGTCTGTAGGTCCTTTGTGGTCCCTGCCTCAGACAGAAGGAGCAGAGTTCTCCCAGTTTGAAGGGTACTTGCCAGGTGGAATGTGCCAACGTTTCCAGCCTTCTTGGCTTCAAAACAGCCACTGGATAAGGGAAGAACTCACACTTCCCATTATCCTAAACAAAATAAAAAGTTCCCTCCCCACCAGAAAAATAGTCTTGATTAAAAGTCATCAGTTTGTCAGAATGCTGAATGCTCACACATAGCTCGTGATTTCAGCTCTTTCCACAGCTGCCAGTGACGAGCTCCAGTCTCCCTCCCTCTACATAAGCCAAGCGTTCCAGGCACGGCTGGCAAAAAAGCTGGTCTGCAGTTTCTCAAGACACGCACATAACCAAGGCAGGTTTCTTGGGGAAAACTGGAAGTAGGGGATGGGAGAAGATGAAAATTACACTTCAGTGGAAGATGATGGTAACTGATGGAATGAAGGCAGCCGCGTTGGGCTTATAGGGTAGGAGTCAGCCTGGCAGTTGGCACAATAGTCCAGCGAAGAAAGGAAAAAAATCATCAGTCCATTTCACCACCAAAAATAGAAGTAATATATTATGAGCCCAGATGGAGCGGGTACAGTGGTGCTAAATCTTCTGCTGTAGGGAAAAAAAGAGAGGGCTGTTAATAGGTTGCGAGTAGGAAGACGGGGGAAACAAAGGCAGGTGAGCAAATCTGAAGGCAGGAAAGCAGCACACGAGAGAGAGCCAAATCACCCACTGCACCCCAGCCTCCGAGGAGGACATGATCTCAGAAGCAGAACCCTTGGGAACCATGTGGCTCAGACAAGCATTTTAGGCCTGACCAGATCAGTATGATTGGCAAAGACTGGGCACACAGGAGCCTCCTTCCTCGGGACCATCTTAGGGGTGACTGGAGGACATACCATGGGGGAGTAAGACACTTGGTGCCCCTCATCATCCAAAACCAACACATCCAACTCTTCCTCCAAAGACTCCTGACCCTCGTCCTGCTGTGAACACATGCAATTTGTTAGTAGGAGAGCCATGACAGGAAGCTCTGAGTGTGTGCCAGATCTAATGGAAATCCAAAAACTTGTAAACCACACTGTTAGAATAACAGGGCAAACATCTTCAACAGGTAAGTGCAAGAGCAGGGTGATGAACAGACAACAGGTTAGTTAGTGTGAGTCACATCAGCAGCACTTCAAAGACGTCCAACACAGTCAATGGGAACATCCCAGAAAACTTCAAGGTACATCAAAACCTCTGTTTTTTTCACTGAAAACACCTACCAAAGAAAGACACTCTCTTTTCTTTATCATACATTTCATCTATCATACAGCTTCAAAATACTGCTGGCCTCACATATACAGCAGTGTATAACAAGGGTTTACCGTCAAGGGCGCTCCCTTCAGTGGCTCCATATCACCCAGATCCCCAGATCGGTCCAGTGTTCTGTTGTGGTCTCCTCTCTCGTTCAGGGTGGAGTAGCTGTTGTCTAGAGAAAAACAAGACACTCCCTCTAGTGTAATGCCCGTGGATCAGACACCTTGACTGAGAAGTGTGCTGCTTCAGATGCTCCAACAAGACTTAAAGTCTGATGCCTTTCAAGACTTAAACACTTGAATATAGTGGAGAAGATAATGTAGGTGAAATAGCCAGTGCTGGGGATGCAGTTCAGCAGTAGAGAGGTTAGCCTAAACTCAGTTCCCAACACTGCAAAAAGAACAAAGCAGTAACGAGAAGCATCAGTGTAGCCTAGGTGGGTAACACTCAAGAGAGCTGGCCCGCCCACAGGCAGCCCTGAAATCAAGAGAGGACAGAAGAAATATGCTGCGATTGGAAGGAACTGGTAATACACAACACAGCTTGAGTTGAGCCTTTGGGAATGAAAGAATTTGGAAGGGCAAAGGCTTAATCTACCCAGGATTTTTAGATAATGCAGAACGTGCTGAGTGTCCTATTGTAAACCTGCAATTACAGCACTTAGACCTGAAGGGAGGAGGATCCACCAATATTCAGTCATCCTCAGCTACATAGTGAGTTCAAGGTCAGTCTGAGATACAGGAGACCCTATTAATAACAAAACAAAGTAGAATCAAGACATAGAATAGCGAAAGTAGGAAGAAGGCCCAAGAATTCAAGGTCATCCTCGGCTATATTTTAAGTCCATAGCTAACCTGGGCTATGAGATCCTGTTTCAGAGGGGAAAAAAGAAAAAAACAAAACAAAACAGCAGCAAGTAGACCAGCTAAACTGAAATAGAGTAGGGAGAAGATTATATGGATACATGAAGACTTTCTGAGAACACGTGGGGAAATAGGACCGACTAAGAATCCAAGGTCAGGGGGCTGGAGTGGTGGCTCAGCAGGTAAAGCAAACTGGCCACTCCTGCAGAGGACCCGGGTTTAACCCCATCACTCACATGGTGGTTCACAACCATCCCTAACTCCAGGTCTAGGGAATCTGACTTCGAGGGCACTTGGTAAATAAAACATACATGCAGACAAAACACTCATACACACAGAATTAAATAAACAGGCTAGGCATGGTGGTGCCTACCTTTAGTCTCAGCACAGGAGGGGCAGAAGCAGGCAGATCCCTGTGAGTTCAAGGCCAGCCTGATCTACAAAGCAAGTGTCAGGACAGCCAGGAATACACAGAAAGATCTGTCTCAAAAAATAAGAATAAAAAAAAATTGTTTTTTAAATTTTTTTAATTAAAATTAAAAAAAAAAAAATTAAGAGTTCAAGGTCGCTCCACCCACAGCAGCATGTGAAAATGTAGAAAAGAGTAAACTGATCAAATTCTACTGTATTTCCAGATACCCTTTCAAACGAAGATGACCAGTCTCGGCACTTTTGAGATTGAACATGGTAAAGGTGTTTAAGGGGTAAAGAGCTACAAAAAGGACAGAAAAAGCCAGGTATGGATGAACAGATCTATAATCCCAGCACTTGGGAGGTAGCGGCAGGAGGAACAGGAGTTCAAGATCAGCCTCTACTGTAGTGAGTTCAAGAACATCCTATGTAATTTGAGACCCTGTCTCAAAAAAGAAAAAGAGAAAATGCCTACTCACCCCAATTGAACACTAATCTGCAGCATTAGACAGGAATTCATCACCTACCTAATGATTTTGTGTTTGACCCCATATTGCTCATTGGAATTTCTTCCCGGTCAGGTTTCTTATCTATATGGAATTAGAAAGTTATCCAAGTCAAAATCCAATACACAAAAATCTATATAAAGTAGACATTTCTCCCTGGCATGCCACCCTTCCCTGCCTTTACTGAAATAAAGTTTTATTCAGCACATACTAAGTGCCAAGCAGTAAACACTACCTACAGTTCTGGGAAAGTCCTCATGGAACTCGATTCCTTCCCTACAGACACCCAAATACAAGAAACCTTTCAGAGGCCATAAAGACGGTCCAGTGGAGAGATGCCTGCTGCCAGGCCCAATAAGTCTCATCCCTGGAAACAACCTGTAGAAGGAACGGACTCCCTCAAGCTGTCCTCGGACCTCTACATATGTACCCATGCACCCCCACAACATAAACAAAAAAATCAGTAGAAAATAACAAGCGTCTAGGCTGCAGATGTAGTTCAATAGTAGATAAAGGACCTTATCTACTACAGGACCTTAGACTCAAGTCTCCAATCACACACAGGAATAATGAGGGCGCAAATGACTTGCACGGGTGTGGAAGGGTCACACATGTCTATCTTCAGAAATGTAAGCGTCTCCTCCACACAGAAATTAACTTACTGCATAATCACAAACACCCTCAGTTGAAAAAGTGTGTGGGCTGGTTATGGGCGGGCAAGGCGGCTCGGCAGGTCCAGCCCTTGCTATGCAAGCTGACAACCTGAGTGTGATCCCTGAAGCCATGGCAAGCTGCAAGAACAGCCTCCAGGGCCGTCCTCCGACCCCCACTACACACCACATTCACAATGACCGTACTTTAAAAACGACAAACAAAACCCCAGGGTAGACCAATAAAGGAGTCAGATGTAGACACTCCCCTAATTTTAGCACTCAGAAGGCAGAGGGAGGGCACCACACAAGGTCCAGGCCAGCCTGGTTCTAAACAGTGAATTCCAGCAACTGTCAAGTCCAGGGCAAGAGCCTGCCTCAAGAAAACCACAAAACATAGATGGGTCAGTCCGTCCTGTCCTTGAACGAAACATTTACTCACCAGGATTTTGAATTACGTCATGGCATTGTCTCCTTGCAAGACAATTTACAGACTATGCAAATGTTGTAAGATTAATACACTTTATTATGCATGTGGGGTTTTTTTGTTTGAGACAGAGTTTCTCTGTACAGCCCTGGCTGTCCTGGAACTTACTATGCAGGCTAGTCTCCAATCCCCAGAGATCCCCCTGCCCCTTCCTCCCGAGCGCTGGGCTTAAAGGTGTGTGTCGCTACACCCAGCTGCATGGTTGTTTTTAAAATAGATTTACATCTAAACTTATGTAATTATAAAAACGATTTTTAATTTGATATTTCTATTCTTAACAGCTTTCTTAAAAATCTTTATTATTACATTGTGTGCACGTGTGTGTCAGTATCCGTGAGTACGTATGTGTATATGTATTCTGTGTCCATGCAATGACATGGATCCAGTGGGCAACTTTTAAGGGTCAGTTCTCTTTCAGGAATGGAACTCAGGCTGTCAATCTTGATGATAAGTGAGTTTACCTACTGGGCCACCTTCATGGACCTAGAAAAGACCTTCTAAGTATTGGGAAGTTAGTAGGCTCAATATCGTGTGTTCGCAATTACACCTTTCTGTTTTGAAATTTTGAGAGGTTTTTTTTTCGGGGGTGGGGGGGAGGGTAACAGGGCCTTATTCTGCAGCTTAGGCTGGCCTATGAAGCCCATGCTGGCTTTAAATGAAGGACAATCTTCCCGCCTTAGCCTTCTAAGTGCTGGAATGGGTCACCACACTTAGCCAAAATGTTTACTCAGGTAGCAAATACTGTCAGTTTTTTCAGCAAAGTGGAAAGGTTTCTGTGTTTATTTTTGAGGAAATGCTTGCCACATAACCACATCTAACTAATCACCACTTGAGCGTCCGCTGCTTCATAAAGTAACATAGCACTCTAGATAAAAACCCACTAGTCTAATTAGTAAAAGCAGTTTGCCTCAAGACAGCCACAGCAGCTCCTCACACAGCGCAAATGCTGCCCATTTCCTCATTAGCACTACACAGCTAAATGGTGTTAGCTGTGCACTTAGGGTTAGGAACACAATCAAGTTTTCACTCTCACAGCTCATCAAGGGTGCTCCTAAGGAGACGGTTTTTGAGACAGGATTTCTCTATGTAGCCTTGGAGACCAGGCTGTCCTAGAACTCAGAGCTTTGCCTGCCTTTGCCTCCCAAGTGCTGGGATTGAAGGTGTGTGCTGCCGCTGCCCCCCCTGACCTTTGGACAAGGCTTTTAAAGGTAGAGTACGTGCCAATAAACCAACTTGCTCAGATCAGCGTCACCACCTTGTCTACGCTGACCACCAGCAGCAAGCACCACTGCCTTTATGCCGCTGGCATGTATGACCAAGACCCTCGGACCCTCAAACCACACTCCAAGGCCATGGGCCAAAATCTTTAAGATAAAAAAGGTTACAGTACATACGTTTGGTGAGAGAGAAAAACTATAGAGTAACAAATATAAATTCATTTGTGGTAAAGTGGTTTAAAAAGCTCTAACTCAGGGACACAGACACTTGCCTAGAAAGCCTGGATTCAATCCCCAGCACCACACAACACAAAACATAAGCTCTCACAGAGCTATAACCTACACAGCTCTGTAATAGCGGTGCTTTTCTCTCGGCACCAGAAATAGTGGCCTTTCTGGCTGTGAGCAGTTTCTATTTTTTCAACTGGAAAAGCACTAATAATTAAGCAGACACACACAGACTCAAAGTTCACAGGTGATAGAGGAGACACAGCCAAGGTAACTAACTACGTTGGTTTTGGTTTGGTTTTCTTTGGAGACAGAGTTCCATGTGCCAAGGCTGGCCTTGGCCTACCATCTTCCTCCGCCCACCTCAGAGTGCTGGGCTGGGATTACAGTTGGCACCACCACAGCCCTTGCTGCCCACTACGATTTGCAAGCTCAAACCTGTTCTCTTGTGCAGAGCATTACACGCCTCCTTGGCATCGCGCGCACTTGGAAATACGCAAACGTCCCATTTCTCAGTTAATAAGCCACTGAAGAATAGCAGGGACATTAAATGAGAAGGCTGCACCCCGTGGCTACCATACCTGATTTTTGGTTCCGGTCAATGAGGGGGAGAGTGCTATCATCATATGAATGGCTGCTCTGGCTTCTAGATGCGTTGTTTAGATTCACCTGGAGACAAACGTAAACCCCAATGTCACAGAAACCTGAATATGCCCACCACCTCTTCCTGTTCCCGCCTCCTAACCATGGACCTCTCACTTCAGCTGCTATTTTTGTGTTGGTTTTCTGAGACAGGGTTTCTCTATGTATAGCCCTGGCTGTCCTGAAACTCAGAGATCCGCCTGCCTCTGCCTCCCAAGTACTGGGATTAAAGATGTGAGTCACCGCACGTGGCCAGAAGCTATTCTTAAGGAGCATTGGCTTCCTTTTCCATGCTCTCCTGTCCTAGCCCTCACTCATATTCTTTCCTAATGCGCTTAGATCTCTTCGTTCTTATTGACAATAGTAACTCTCCAGAAAAAGAACCTGAGGCTGGGCAGAGGCCCATATGTACAATGCTAGTGCTTGGGGAACAGAGGCAGAAGGACCAGAGAATAAATGAGCACACAGAAGAGTCAGAGTGGATAGAGGGGTCACAATGGCTGTGAGTTATCACTATTCACCACCAGTAGCATCTACTGTATGTTCAACACTGAAAGAGTTAAACCATTTCAGCAAAAGTAGACTGTGGGCATCACTGTTTGAAGAGGCAGTGTTGCTAAGAAAGTCTTTACCATCTTGAAAACAACTTGGAGCTGGTCCAATGGTGACAGAGAAGAAACCAAAGACAGAGGCACTAGCCAAGGACCAAAGAGGAAGAAAAGCGAACACTTTGGTCAAACGTCATTGCACCTGGAAGTCTGACTTCTTCCATCCCTCTTTTTCCAGTGGCTTCCGAAGTTCCTTATAACCCCAGATGGTCTGCAGGACGAGAGCTGCTGCCCGGACTTCTTTTTCTGAGCGATTCCTACGATGGAAAGTAACACCACACAAAGTGTGCTGTTAAGACCAGGGAGTCTTAGAGCCTGACCTTAGGACCGCTAACAGAGTGGTTCTTAACCTTCCTAACGCTGCACACAATTCCTTATAGTTTGACACCCAACCAGACAATTATTTTCATTGCTACTTCAAACTCAGAACCACAGGTTAAGAATCGTGACTGTAATAGCACAATAATATAAAAATGTAAAAATAGGTGAAATCAAACTTCACAAATCTTATATTCTGTCTGAAACACTGACATAAACTAGCTTGATGTAAGAATCCGTTATCAATTTATAGGCCAACATTAAGAGTGAAAATGTATCAATATCTCTCCACACGTCATAGGAAAGGGCAAGAAATCTCACAGAACAGTGGGAAGCCCCCTTCTGAAAACTCTTCTCTCATACTCAAATTCTTCTAGCTGTGCTGAAGTATAAGCTCACCCTGATTTGTTGATCAACACGAGCTTCTCGATACCCTGGGTCTCTCGGAGCTTTTTGGCAGCTTCCAAGTTCTCGGCAATAACCTCGTTGATGGTGTTCAATATGGAGACCACAGTGTCTTCAGAGAAATTCCAGGAGGAGTTCTGCTGACCTCCAGGCAGATTCTTTACCAAGTTAGGAATAGCATGTTTGCCTATAGCAGTAAAACGAAAGGTCAGGAGGAGCCTCACAATACAGTTTACAGTAATCAGGTCAACTGTATGTTCTAGGCATACAAATCAACTCCATTATTACATAAGATTATATCAGAGGGGCCAAGATCACGAGATAGCCACCAACTCACTGTCCTCCATCCACTGCAAGTGCATGCGGACATGTGCTGCTGGACATCAAACACACTAAAGAAAACACGATGCTCAGCACTCCCTTATGATGGTGAATGGGACACAGTCTTCTTTATGAATTTACAAGGTTAACAACTTGGGCTCTGCCACTAAGTAGCTATATTAATTCTGGGCAAATTAAACAAATAGAAAAATACTAAACAATGCCTACACAGGGAGAAAGCAGATATTCAACAAATAGTAGTGGTTATAATGTTTTTGAGGAATCATCACTTCTTGCTTTTTTAAAAACCACTAATCCATAAACCTTCAACACTCAAGACACATAAACTATGGCTATAGAATCCTTCTCTTCAGTGATGTCAACAAATGACTACAAACATTTGTTGGAATCCAGGCACTGTGCGAGGCCCCAATTCCAATCCTTACCAATTAACTCTTTGTTCCGGGCATCCACAGCCAAATTTCTCAGTGCCCCAGATGCAGCTTTCACTACTCGCTCATGTTCACTGGTCAGGAGGTCAGCTATGGCAGAGAGAGCCTTCTCTTGACGCAAAGCAGAGCGGATGTATCGACCGTACTGGGAAGCACATGGGAAGTGGTGAAAAGATTACAAATGACAGCAAACTAGTTATCTACACTCCCGACCTCCAAATCCACTGTCCATGAGGCACTCACGGTCCAGCGCCCAGCACACAAGTTCTGGATAGCTCCAGCGGAGGCTTCTAGGATGGCAGGTGTCTTGCTCTCCTTGAGGAGTGAGATGTATATTCGCACCACTTCTGGCTGAAATAAGAGTTCATAGCCTGCAAAGAAAGGGCAAGACAGGGAACACTAATCATTGTCTACAAACCAGGCTCTGGCTGCCTGCAGTTCTGCTTCTCCACCATTGAGCTCCCTCTACTTCCTTATGAACTCAAGAGCAAACTCAAAGGCTTGATTTCATGTCTCTTTCTTCTTAGGTTTTGTTTTACTTTTGAGACAGGGTCTTGCAATGTCAAGCACACTGTCCTCAAACTCACAATCTTCCTGTCTTAAGTCTCTCAAGTGCTGGGACTACAAGCATCTACCACCATGCCCAGCTGATCCCTTGCTTTAAGAGTAACTATTCTAGGGGCTAGAGAGATGGCTCAGAGGTTAAGAACAATGACTGCTCTTCCAGAGGTCCTGAGTTCAATTCCCAGCAACCACATGGTGGCTCACAACCATGTATCGTGAGATCTGGTGCCCTCTTGTGTCATGAAGGTGTACATGCAAACAGAACATTGTACACAATAAGTCTTTAAAAGACAACAAAACAAAACAAAGAATAACTACTCTAGCCACCAGCAGTCATACCCCTTTAATCCCAGCACTTGGAAGGCAGAGGTATGCAGACCCCTGCAAAGTCTGAAGCCAGTCTAGTCTACCTAGAAAGATCCAGGACAGCCAGGCCACATCGTGGGAACTCGTCTCAACAAAAGCAAAGTCATAAAATAGTGGCAACTAACTAGCCCATGGTAAAAACAGGACAGCAACTCCATCATATTCAATTCCTCCCTCCTCCTCCTTGACTTGTATCCCATAGCTAACTTTAGCCGTGTTTGTACCATAAGCAATCAAGCATAATGATTTAACATCTCAAACAAATTACTTCTAATTTAACTCAGTCATTCTCCCGACCTGAGACTTAACATCATTTAATTAACATCTTTTATATTTATGGAAAGCCAGTAAGTTAATATTTATTAATACAGTGGGTCTAAAGATTCAAGCAGTGATAAAGGAATTTCTTCTAACTGTAAGGTTCGAGATCCAAAAAACTGAAGTAGCAACTTAGACAGCTAAGTCTTTTTTCTTTTTTTGAGGCAGGTTCTCATTCTGTATGCCAACATGGCTTTGAACTGACAGCAATCCTCCTGCCTCAGCTGTCCAAGTACTAAGCTGTCCAACTAAGGTTGCATGCATGCACCATTATACCCAGCCTTGTTTTAAACTCCAGACTGAATACTGTGAATGTCCTATCACTTTCCCAGTGATAGGACATTCATTCCATCAAATGAGTCCCATCAAATCCATTACATCAGGAACAACTGGAAATATCAACATGTTACATGTCCAAGCACTGCATCTGAGGCCTCTGGGACTGAGTAAAGGGTAGCTTACCTCGAGCAGGACTAGTTCTTTTGGGGAAATCCACTGTATCATTTGCTGGGTCCTCCGTGGGCTTTTTCCCTATAAAAATGTGGAAAGGGCAGAGAGAACAGTGTTAAGAGCTTTTAAAGAAAGGAAACATTCCACCTGACAGCTTTTCATACCTCAGTCAGAATCTTCAGATCAGAGAGGCAATACCAAGAGGGAAAAGGGATGATGCAGAAACAAGGACCAAAACGATAACCGCTCTTGCTGCTATTAACCGAGGCCGACAAAAGGGACTGCTGTCCAGAAACAGCATGTCAACACCACAACCCAGAAGATCTAAACTTACTTCAATGTTGTTGTTTTCCCTCAACTCAATTTTCCTACATGCATCCACAGGGAAGGGTTAGACAAAGAAATATTAGGGAAGGTAAAAACCAAACCATGCAAATTAGAAGGAGACAAGCGCCTTAAAAGATTACACTCACCTCTGGAAAACCACTCATCTTCCAGGGAATCACCAAGGTGGAAAGCGAGGAGAGAAATGAAGGAAGAAAACGCAGGAGAAAGATGTCAACAGGATCATGGGCAAGTACACAAGAAAGCAGAGGAGGAAGAATAGGGAGGAAGGCCCCAGATTAGCTGAGTTCTTGTCCTTCACCGCCCCATGTGCAAGTACACCAACAACCATCACCATCCTCACAACACCACCACCACCACAGTCAAAGCATACAGAACAAGGGAGCAGCAGCAGAGCAAAGGACAAGTCTCGACTAGGTGGACTTCCAGACTATTCAGTAAGTATCTAGAAAGCTAAGTCATCCCATATTAAAGAACAGGAACTAAGCAGACTCACCTTTGCCCTTCTTGGCCCCAAAGCAACTGGCAGCATGTGGCCCAGTACTGTTAACCACACTAGGAAGTGCCTCTTGGTAACGCTCTGCCTGTGGGATTTCACGATGAACTTGATATGATAAGTTCCGAAGGAGGCAGACACAGTTCTCCACGAGCTTAGGGACGTGAAAACAAAAGGTTCAATTGGAAAAGAGAATGGCTATGATGATTTACAAGGAATCCTAAGTCTCCATGATTTGAATATTAAAATATCAATCCTAAAATGTATAACTCAATCCGTCTTCTCTCAGACTGTCTTATCAGTGCCCCAGACCCCTCAAAATCCTTGTTATCTTCAGGCTAACAGAAGTCTAACTTCAACTAGTCTAGCTTCTGCAACTAGTTGGTGACCCAACATTTAGGCCACCGAGGCCTCTCCTAAGAAAGCAATCTGAAGACTACTAAGCAGCTTTACTCTATATGGGGTTGGGTGTGAGGTGCTAAACAAAACTATCTTAGACTAGGGTCAGATGGAAGGGGAGAAGGACCTCTCCTATCAGTGGACTGGGGAAGGGGCATAGGAGAAGAAGAGGGAGAGAGGGTGAGATTGAGAGGGGAGGGAGGAGGGGGCTACAGCTGGGATACAAAGTGAAAAACTGTAATTAACAAAAGTAAAATTAAAAATTAAAAAAAAGAAGAAAAAAACTATCTTTAGGGCTAGAAAGATGGCTTAGTCATTAGCAGCACTTGAGGCTCAACAAACCAGGCATGACCTGGGGTGCACACATAGAGCTATTGCTATAGGAACAGAGACAGGGTTGCTGCCAGCCTAGCCAAAGAACACAACCTACATTCAGAGTGAGACAGGGCCTCAAAGAATAAGGTGGGGTGCCTGAGTGACAAAAAATGCTCTCCTGGCTGCTTCTCTTGTGTACTCATGTACGTATACACACACACACACACACACACACACACACACACACACACACACACACACACACACACACACAATCTTTTCTTCTGAACTATATGCCCACTTTAAGGAGAATGGCTGGCATAAGTACTTTATATTACCTGAGAGCCTGAAGTGGTAGGTCTAGGCCACAGGTACTTTGTGAACAAAATTCACAGTCATTAACTTACCTTGCTGTCTGAATCCTTCTGCCCAATTTCTGCCTGAACAATGAAAATGAGGGCATCAACTAAGCCATCACATTCCCGAAGTTTCCGGCGGGCTTCACTCCTCTCTGAGCTTACATTTCTAAGGGGGAAAAAAAAAAAGGCATGAAGATGACTCAGATCCCTGAAGTCCTCACTCAGGGGTCTTTCCTCATCTACATCTGAAAATTCCTTTAGGTCTTTTCTACTCAGGACAAGAAACTGTTAATACCAGGGGCTGGAGAGGGCAGTCAGGCGACAAGAACACTCGCTGTGCTTCTTCTTCTAAGGCCTTGGATTCCACCACCAGCACCCACGTGTTGGCTGTAGCCCCAGAGGACCTCCTCTGACCTCCTCTGTGTGTGTGTGACCGTCATGGGTAGGGACAGAGCAAAGCGGTAAACAGCCGGCCCAAGGATATACACAGCAATAGGTTCAATCCTCAGCACCATGGCAGGAGGGCTTGTGGGGAGGGCCAGGCGTCGGGAAACCCAGACAGATAACTGTGACAGGGCCTAAGACACACACAAGTCCAGACCTAGAATATAAACAGGTATTTACCTAATTAACGAACAAAGTCAAAGAGGAATAAAAGTGAGGAGCTGGGAGGAGGAGGAAGGGAGAAAAACCACAAGCAGGTAAACTGAGGTCAAGTACACACCAGGTAGAGAAGCTTGCCTAGCTCATGCAGTGCCCTGAATTTGGTACCCAGGACCACAAAAGAAGCAAGCAAACAAATTAAAAAAAAAAAAAAAAAAAAAAGACTTCCATAAAAGTTGATAGGGATGGTATGTGTTTGTGTGTGTGGTACTGAAGGCTGAACCCAGGCAAGCACTTTATCAGATAAGCTATACTGAATCTGTTCTGAGACAGGGTCTTTTTTTTCCCCCTACCAACTGCAAATTGTTCAGCTATGTGAACAATTTATTTTCCCCTACCCAACTGCAGATAAGTGGGTAAACAGCCCACTTATCTGTGAGTTTGTGTATTGTCTCCCTCTAAAATTCCTCAAATCCCCATTGCTCTACCATTATCCATTTCAGGGGTCATGCAGAGATGAAGGTAGAATACATATGTCTGTTTCTGAGGGCTGCATTCTGGTATTGTGCTTTATGTCCGTTTCCCAGTCTTTCCTTAGTCTACATAGCAGCTCCTGAGAAGTGAGCTCCCATGTGCTCTGGAAACTGGAGTGCCACTGTGATGTAATGTGTTGGCCAAGAGTTTATTTGTGACAGGTAAGTAGGATGGTTCTCTACAGATACTAATGGAGATCTAAAGAACGTTCCCCGCGAACCACCACCAGATCTGGTTGAAAGAGTCCAAGGAGGAGGAGTATGTTCCACAGTACCTGATCATGTAGCCTGACTCACTTAGGTTTATTTTCATAAACCTTGGCTTCATGTTACTTATGAAGCAACCAACTGCGAATTTTACTTTACAGTTTGTTAAGTAGGTAACTTTGTGTATGCTATTACCATTTTTATTATTATTATTAGTTACATTTTATTAACTGTGTATCCTATCCCAGCTGTATCCCGATCCCTCATTCCCTCCCAATCCCATCCTCTCTCCTTCATCTCCTCCCTGCCCCTTTCCAAGTCCACTGATAGGGGGGACTTCCTTCCCTTTCATTTGACCCTGTTTTATCATGTATCTTCAGGACTGGCTGCAAAGTCCTCCTCTGTGGCCTAGCAGGACTGCTCCTCCCTTAGGGGATGGGGAGGTCAAAGAGCCTACCATTGAGTTCCTGTCAGAGATAGTCCCTGTTCCCCTCACTATGGGAAACCAATTGGTTACTGAGCTACCACAGGCTACATTCAAGCAGAGGTTCTAGGTTATATCCATACATGGTCCTTGGTGGAATGTCAGTCTCAGAAAAGACCTCTGTGCCCAGATATATTTGGTCCTTGTAGAGCTCCTATCCTTTCCTCATCAGACTAACTCCCCCTACTCTCATATGATTCCCTGCATTCTGCCGAAGGTTTGGTTATGAGTCTTAGTATCTGCTTTGATACTCTGCTAGGTAGAGTCTTTCAGAGGCCCTCTGTGGTAGGCTCCTTTCCTGTTACTACATCCGATGCATCTCTCATTTGTCTTTGTAAGTGAGGATTGGTCATCTAACCCGGGGCCTCTTTCCTGTTTATCTTCTTTAGGTGTATAGATTTCATTATGTTTATCATATCTTATAGGACTATATAAGTGAGTATATACCATGTGTGCTGAGACAGGGTCTTAACAGAGTCTCCCGCTGGCCTTGGACTCACTCTGTGGTATACAGGCAGGCTATTGACTCAGTTCAGACAGGTTCACAGGCCTGCACTACAAACCTCTGCACAGCCTTCAAAAGGGGTTTCCTGTGTTGCACTGGCTGTCCTGGCCTCACTCTGTAGAACACGCTGGCCTCAAATTCACAGGGATCTGTCTCTCTCTGCCTCCCAGTGTGCCAGGAGTAGAGGCGTGCGCACCATGCACGGCTAAACGTTCAGTCTTTCTAGTCTCAGAAACCTTCACTTACCTCAGGCAGCCAGCGGTGTTGGTGAGCACTGACTCCCATTCAATATGCCGTGGCTTGCAGTCCTCATTGGGTTCTTTCTCCCAACCAGAATGTGGAATGATCACTTCATCTGTCAAGGCATGTAGCGCATGGTCCACAATCTCCATTTTGATTGAATCATGAGATGAGAGATTCCACAGGGTTCCTGGCAGGGACAGTTCATCAGTGAGAACTCGGTTCTATTCCTTAGTCGTGCTCAGTGGTCACAGGGATGTCCGCTGCTGAGTTTCTGTGACCCCGAGTAGTGTTAAGTCAGCCTTCTGTTTGCGGCCCATGGTAGCCTCTGTCTACCCTGTAGCTCAGTAGACGCGCAGCCACAGAACAAAGCTTTATGAACAGTATTTCTAGACTTCCATGCTCACCAACGCATGCCAGGCTCTCCACCTCAGCCTATGAAAAGCTGTCCTGCCTACTGCTGGATGCTGACCAGCTAGTCGGTAGCCCTAGCCTTTGTCCATTGGATGTGAAGGGCACACTCTACCTCACCCCAGATTATGCCAGCCAAAATCAACTCCAACAGTAGAGATGTCCTCTGGGGGCAAAATAGCCTGCCAATTGAGAGCTAATATTTATTTATTTTCTTCTTCTTCCTGGAATGATGATCAGGGCCTTCAAACTGTGTTCAGTTCACACTAATAGATCACCATGCACAATCTAAATAAAGCGAGGACCATAAGCTCAAATGTCTAACTGGAATAGGCAGGTTGAGTCAAGACAGGCACGTTTAAAACAAGTTATAAGGTTGTGGATAAACGACAACAGACACTCCGCTCCCATGTCTGGAAGGCACGCTCCTCTACTGCGGCAGCTGGTCACTGTGCCAGATGTGGTGGCCACACCTTCGGTTCCGGAACTCAGGAGGCAGAGGTAGGTGAATCTCTGCGAATTCGAGGACAGTCTGGCATACACAGTGAGTTCCAGAACAGCCAGGCTATGTACAGAAGGGTCCTGTCTCAAAAGACAAGACAAAAAAACCTGGGAGGGAGGGGGAGGGGAGATGCCGGCACACATGCCCCGGCGATTACTGTTTGCCTTGTATCATCCAATCAAATATGTGAAGCAGATTTGACCCAAGGCCCATACTTCAGAACCTATAATCAAAGTGGCCTGGCCAACCATGGTGGCGAGTGCTTTTTATCCCAGCTTGGGAGGCTGAAGCAGGCAAATTTCTTCAAGTTCAAGTCCATCCTGCTCAGCATAGTGAGTTCTAGGCCAGCCAGAGTTACACAGTTTGAGTTACCATGTCTCAAAGTGAATGAATGAATGAATGAAAGGTAATGGATTGGAACCTCTAGATCTGCACCTCTCTACAGAGTAACAGTGACCCCCACCCTAGTACTCACCAGTAATGACTTCAGTCAGATCCATATCTCGAGCCTTTCGGAGCAGCCGAACCAGGGCGGGAACACCATCACAGTTTTTTATGGCAATCTTGTTGTCTTGGTCACGTCCAAAAGAGATATTCTTGAGAGCGCCACAGGCACCGAGGTGCACTTCCTTTTTGGGATGATCTAGCAACCCTACCAGCACAGGGATCCCTTTGAGCTTCCGCACGTCAGTCTTCACCTTGTCGTTTCGATAGCACAAATGCTGCAGGTACGCCGCCGCATTGGACTTCACCGCATCCAGGCGGAAGCCTAGCATGGCGATTACCTCTGGCAGCTCCGGCTGTCTCCAATTTGGAGGCGGGGGAACGCCCTTGCGAAGGCTATCCAAGCTGGCTAAACTTCCCCGCTCATGCTGAGCCAAGGGGGCCCAGTAGTACTGATCAGGCGGCACCTCCTCCCCAATCATGTCTTCATAGCTCCTGGGTTTTCAGAGAACCAAGAACCAACAGTTAGATCTGGCTTCTGGGTAACACCTCTGTTACCCATTCTCTTCAAGGCAGGATCAGTCCCAGCTCTGCACAAAGATCAAGGATCTCCTCTGTTTGGTCAACACGGAATGCTTGACCAACACGGAACGCTTGAATGTGTGAGTGCAAGTCTTTTCAAGGGCCCTCTACCTTACTCTGAGACAGAGTCTCTTAGCAAATCAGAAGCTGGCTATAAACTAGACTCACTGTCCTGAAGTACCCAAGGATCCTCTGATCTCTGTCCCCCAGTGCTGGGATCACAAGTGTCAGCCACCACAGAGCTAAGCCAGCAAACTCATGCTTGTGCAGAAAGCATTTCACCAGACTGAACCAGCTCCCCATGCCCAATTTTAATCATTCAAAAGTAGCCTGTATTTACACTAAAACCATCTCTCTCTTTTTTTTCCTGTGAAGTTTGCTGATTGAGAAAGACAAACATTTAGAAATGTAATTACAAAAAGAACCAATCCTGATTCCTTAGTATTTACATCTGACAGCTACTAACTTCTCTGATTAAAATGAAAGAAATCCTTGGACGGAAGAGTTAAGCAACTGATTCCACATCACGTAAGTGAGCAAACAAAACCCGAGAACAGCAGGTCTTACAGGTATAGCACTGGGGAGACAGACACAGGATCACAAGTCTGAGGCCAGATAGCAAGTTCCAGGCAATCTAGGCCACAAACCAACACATCCTCCCACCCCCGCAACCCCCCCCCCAAAAAAAAACAACAACAACTTTGAATAGTTCTTAAATTCTTAGCTGAACAGGAAACAAGGCATTTCCACACAGGACACAGATGGTAGAACAAGACCATTAAACACATTTCATATTTAAGCTTTTCCCTGCCCTATTTTGGAAATTAAAAGAAGCAATCAAAACAGATGAAGGACTGCACATCAGTATTAAGGAGGTATAAACTTGAACATTAATGGTCACAGTTTACCTGAAGGCTTATATGCTACATAGATGCATATGTTCCAGAAGGAGTTCCATCCTCCAACTTCTACATACTTCTAATTCTGTCAAAATGGTATCTACACACCAACATCTAACCTACCGCCAGCACTTGGATCAGGAGGATGCTGAAAAAAGTCAAATGAAAAGCGTTTCCTATCTCAGTACTCCCAACAACCACTAGAGGGTGAGTCTGCCAAACTAGTATTTATTCAAACGAGGAAGGAAGAGCCCATTATCTGCGAGTTCATCTCCCACTGGGGAGAGCAAAATCTACTGTGTGGGACTCTCCAAATACGACTATTATTTGTTCCATAAAACCACCCCCACTGTCACCAGACTCAACGTTAGCCTGGCCCAGCTTGGTGGCACACGCCTGTAACCCCAGCTCTCAGGGAGGCAGAGACAGGCTGATCTCTGTGAGATCGAGGCCAGCCTGGTCTATAAAACAGTCCAGGACATCCAAGGCTACACAGAGAAACCCTGTCTTAAAAAAAAAAAAAAAAAAAAAAAACTACCTACGAGGTATCAGCGCTGACCATTAAACCATGAAGGATTCAGGGGGACAAATAATTTAGTTAAAAAAAATAAATAAAATTTAAAATGTCCCAGCCTGGTCTACAAAGGAGTCCCGGACAGCCATGGCTACACAGAGAAACTCTGTCTCAAAAAAAATAAATAAATAAAATAAAAATGTCATTGAAACAAAATAAAGTTGTTTTAAAAACAGATTATAAACAGTATATGAAAAACGTCCTTTTAATGAGAGAAAACAGGACACAAGAAAACTCCAAGGATACAGCAAACTGCTCTTCCTGAGAGAACAGTGTCTCAGGCTGTGTGATGAGCATATCTTTCTTTTCTTGTTTAAGATAAGCAACTACAAAAATAACTGCCCTTGCCCAATTTTTTTTTTTTTAGTCACTCAACAAAATCTATCTTTATACTTCCTTCTTCCATAGGCAGTATAGATCAAGATTCTTTTCTTTTATGAATAACAAAACTGACCAAATGATCAAATAACTTGCTTAAGGCTATACGGATAATGGCAGAGGCACAACCAGACCAGCGTTTTCAGTTTCAGTGCTTTTCACACTAATCACTGCCTCACTGTGTAAGTTTGACCTTGCACTACTCTAGTAGGCCTGAACAGGAAGCAGAAGACGTGCTTGCTAGTCAAGCAGGATTCCAATGTCACTCTGGAACAAACCCAAGAGCCAAGACCCAAACCTTCTCTGTGTGTACGGCCACTTCAAAGGGCAAGCAGGGAAGGGCTTGGCCATCCACACCCATAGATGTCTAATCTCTCTTTGCTAAGGAAAGTCAGAGCACGCAGACTTGTACTCCAGCCCCACAACCTAGGCAGACTGTTCCAGGAATAGCTGCTATCTACCTCTGGCTAGCTTACTGCTGCTAAGCTCTGGCGCCCCTTCAGGAATAAAAGGTGAGTCACATGGGAGTTGACTGTGCTAGCCACGCCATCTGAAAAGCGCCAGTGACTCAGGCTTAGACAGTAGGGCCTCTACTCCTGTCCCAGACTAACTCAGTTTATGGTTGGCCAACACTATCTAATATACATTCTGAAGTAAGTGCCAAGACCTTTGCTTTGCAAGGTCATGAACCTCCGCACAAAACTGAGTAACACCTGCCAGGGCACCCTCTATCAAGATAACTAGAAATCTTCTCTTATTTCTTGGCTTGAAAATATAGACTCGGATTTATTCTAAGGTTATGTTTGTAGCTCAAGACCAAACATGTTTTTTTGTATACACCCAGATCTAAGAATTTCTTAAATAACCTTTACAAAATATGAAAACTAAACCAAGGTACTAATGAATAGCACACCAAGTCTAACACGGGCCCTTGAGGAAGGGCCGCACGGCCGGGGATGCTGGGGCACGCCTTTAACCCCAGCTGTCCCAGGACAGTCTGTGTTAGAGGCCACCCTGTGTCTCAACACCAACAAAAAGAAAGTGAAGAGAGGGAGACTCTTAACCCCATTCTAAAACAGTCTTCCAAGGCAACAACTACTCATCCACACAGTAACCACGACACAGTCATGTCACCAAAGATCACCTCAAAGAAAAAGACCCTTCAGAATGGACGGTCGCTTAGTGACCTTTGGGAGTTATTACTAATGGACAGTACAGGAGGACCACTCCCAACTCACTGCCTTCATAAAGCCCTAACTAACTACAAAGGGCCAGGGCTTCTGTGAGATTATAAACATCAAGATTAGAACTAATGCAAGGAAAGCTCTTAAACAAAGTCCCGTGTTCTAACAGCAAAGCAGTAGCTAAACAGGCGCTCACAAACAAGAGCGTGACATTTCCTGACCCCAGCTTTGGACTCTTTACCAAGAGAGAGACAGATCTTAGGTGGAAGTTACAGCATGGCAGCCAGTTCTGTTTTTTTAGGGACACAGACCAATAACCACCACTAATCACTTTTTTTCTTTTGGGTTTTGTTTATAAATAGTCAACACAATAGCCCAAACAGGCTTTGAACATCCTGAGATTAATACTGTATCAGCCTCCTCAGCAGTGGAATTACAAGCATAAATCATCTGGCTACTTTCTCACCAAATGTGGTGGCACACCTGTAATCCCAGGATTTGGAAGGAGAATAATGAAGGACCAGGCGTCCAAAATCAGCATTTACTAAATAGCCAGATCGGTGGACAACCTGAGCTACCAATATGTGGTCTCAAAATGTAATAGCACACAAACAGAAAATAATCACTTGGTATAACTGAAATAAGACTTTGACAACAAGAAAGAGTAAGACAGCAAACCAACAGTCAATGTGCTTTCCAGGAAAAGGAAAGGAGCCCAAGTGTCCACCAGTGGTCACTAATCCCCAAAAGTTCTCAAAACAAAGCCACCCTTCCCCAGATGGGAAAGAGAGGAGCCTCTCTTCCCTCACTCCTGCTCACCTGAGGCGGCGGCGAGGGTCCGAGGGAGTTCCTGTGCGACGGGCAGTGCCATAGTCAGACATCATGCCATAATCGAGGTCATCGTAGCCCATGCTGCGCTGGTCGTCCTCCAGCCCGTACGGCTCTGGGTGAAAGCGATGCAGATCCACACTGCTCCCTCCTACTCGAACCTGGGGCTGGGGCCCATACACGTCTTGTCTACTCGGGGCCCGGTAGCCTTCCATGCTGGGCCTGTACCGCTCCTCAATTCGGGTGACCCGGGACAGACTGCCGTAGTTGTCACTGCCACCAGGGTAACCATCTTCGTAGTGTCGGCCGTATCCATCTGGAGGGTAGTGGAAGTTTCTAGGAAGAGTTGCAGTGCCTGCCTGCCCCACATAGGGACCAGGGCCCCCGTTGCCATTCTTGCGGAAATCACGGCCCAGAGTCTGGATGTAGTTGTTGGAGACGGATGAGGCATCCATGGGCAGCCCATCTGGTCCCATGGGGACTGGCTGTACTGTTCGCGTTGTCACCGTCTTCACAACTTTCTTGACCTTCAGTTAAGGAATAAGAAAAAGAAAACCAATTCTTGAAGGAAATGAAGAATCTAAGTTTTAAATTCCACACTACCCTAAAAACAACCCCACACTCCAGGTCTTCACATAGAAATATCCCCTGCGTCACCTATGCCCTCTTACCCAAATGAGAAAAGCCACCTTGTCACTAACTCTTAGGGAAACTAGTGTGAGCGCCATGCCCCTCCTCCCCCTTCCCACGGTCCTCTCGCCTTCTTTTCTGTTGCACACTCATAGCTTTCTCTCTGGCATCACTGCCTTCGCCCCCTAACTGGCTCGCTCCTCTACTAAAGACCACCAGGGGCCCATCACTTTAAGGCAGACAGAACTCAGCTTACCGTGGTCTCCGTGCGCCTGGTCGTCCCATCATCTGAGGTCTCCACAGAAACAACAGACATGGCTCCTTCAGGGTCCTCCTCTGTGTAGGTTTCCACAATCTGCCCTGGCTCCTGCATCCTGGGGATAGTGCTATACAGAAGGTGATTGTGGTCCTGTGAGAGAGAGAAGAGAAGAGTGAAGCTATACTAAATCTCTGCAGTAACAGTCCAGCCTAGTAAGAAACACTGGGGCTTCTAGAAACTGTAGTTTTCATGCATCTCCCATTGGCCTCAGGGGTTATAGAGAGTGTTGTCACCTTTCACCTTCTACAAAAAGGCAGGGCACACCTTTAATCCCAGTACTCTAGAGGCAAAGCTCTGCCCTGTGAGTTCAAGGCCACCCTAACATCCATAGTGAATTCCGGTCAGCCAGGACCACACACTGAGCCACCATGCTCAATAAGTAAATAACTTGTGTAAAAGGAGAGTAACTATAATTTCCCAGTACTAGGCATCTAACAACACAAAGAAAAAGAGGTAACGCAAATCATGCAGACATGACGGGGCAGCAGATTTGACTTCCCATTCTTGTCACCTGTTTAAATATAAACCGTGCTGTCATGTCTACATCTGAATAATACTTCAAAAAGAACAGCTTAACCAATAAAGACCTTTTAAGATTAAAACATACTAACAATAAGAGGTTTTGTTTTGTCTTGGGTGGTACTAGGAGTTGCATGTGGTGTATGCTAGGCAGGAATTCCACCTTCTACTGAGCAATCCAGAACCTTTTCTTACTTTTACTTTGGGATACAGTTTCAATAATTTCCTAGGCAGGCTTCTGATCCTCCTGCCTCAACCTCCCAAAAGACCAGGATTAGACTTGAACCACCAGGCCCAACAAGGCTTATCTTTTGATGGTTTTATGTTATTCCCCAGATACTCCCCTGTCAGATTTTAGGTAAGCTTTTCTACAGTGTAGAATCATGGTCTCCCTCAAAACAACTGCAGTACCAGAGGCTCAAATGAGACAGGAGTGCCATGATAAAAGCCAATGATTTTTTTTAAAACCAACAAAACTATGTATAATTTGGAATGGCACCTTTTACTTTCCTAAACTGAAGAACTAATGAGCATTTATAGTAAGCACTCCAGAACACCAATACAATCGTAAAGGCTGGAGAAGGAAAAAGATATGAATAAAGCCATCCAGACCTTGAGTCAAAACAATTACCTGGGGTCCGTTGAGTTTCAAATCTGAAAATTTCTGTCTCTCAAGGTCAGCATCGCCCACAAAGCGGCCGTTCTGAAACACAGCCCACAGGACAATTCATTTTCTGGCCTTTCTTTGTTCTGTCAAACACAAACATCTTTCTTTCCAAAAGAAAGGGCTTTAAAGAAGGTGTCTGTGGCCTGAAACTGGCATCAGCACTCATAAGGAACGGTGGTGACACTCCTTAATCTTAAGTTACCACTTCCTCAAAACTGGAATCAGGCCTAAAATTCTGGCACGGGGGGGGGGTCCTCTGGAGCATAAGAGTGTAAGTTTCATGGAAAACAGAGCTTGGGGTTAGTAGGCTGTATCTCTAGTATCTTTGAGCGGTGCTTGGCGTAGGAGAAACATTCAACAAAATTTTGCTGAAAAAACAGCACCGACTATGATAAGCTCCCTACACACAACCTTTGGGAAAGTCCTAAGAATATAGGAAAGTTGGAAAAGCTACATTGGGGGGTTCCCAAAAAAGCCTTTATTGTTTTAGGAATCTTCATGCTCTGCTACCATGGGAAACTCCCATTCCAGGAAGCTTTTTAAAGAAAAGAAAAGAGTTAATATGAAAGAAAACCCTGGGCAATGGCCTTCAAGAAGAATCTTAACCGCTCCGTCAACTCACAGCAAGAACACACTCTGAGACATTCTCAAGTTGCTCTTTCAAGCACCAAGACGGAACCTAATGAGACTGTACAAAGAAAAACACATCTCTTGCTCTTCTCCCAAGAGAATACAGGAGACCCAAGAACCATGGGAGGTTCTTCCTCACCCACTCCTCTTTACATACAGTGTAATGCTGTAGGAGGAGGAAGCCAAACTTTGCTTTCAGGAAGAAGGAAGGGTGTGGTTTCATTGCTGAGCAGAGGTTAAAAATAAAAGAGCAAGAGAAAAACCACCAAATCCTGGGATTCCCCACTACCTAAAAGTGTGAGCGACCCCACTTTCCCTCAGTCTATCTCATTCCCAGCTCTCTACTCAAGTTCTTGCAAATTTCCCTGGATACTGTAAACATGTATAAAACTTTTTTTTTTTTTTTTTTTTTTCCCCAGACAGGGTTTCTCTGTATAGACCAGGCTGGCCTTGAACCAGATCTGCCTGCCTCTGCCTACCAAGTACTGGGATCAAAGGCTTGGATCACCACACCTAGCTAAAACATCTTTTAAATTCATGATTGTACACTAGTTTAAGGATGAAGCAAGTAGCTGGGCATGATTGTAATCCTAGTACTAGGGAGGCAGACGCAGGAGGAACATCGGTCTGAGGTCAGTCTGAGCTACACACCCACACCCTGTCTTCAGATACGCTAAGGTCTGAAAAGCTGCTTAGCGGCCGAGGATCTGCCTAGCATGCACAGGACCTTGGGTTCCATCCCAGCTCTTCCCACGTAAGTAAATAATGAGTTTAAAATGTAAGTGTGCTAGAGCACTTGCCCAGCACCTTCAGGCCCAGGCTCAATCCTTAGCACTATAAAATATATAAATTAAAAAATAAATAAGCAGTTAGCTAAGAGAACTAAGTATACGCGCTGCTCTAGTTCGAGACCTCTTCAGAGTCAGTCTACTAAGCAGCGGACACACACACACACACACACAGATAAAACCTCAGACAGATTACATCACAGTGCAGTCAGATATAAACCACAGGAAACAACATAGTTCTCATTTCTAACACCAGTCTCCTAGGTCACATCAGGCAGCCAGCCCAGAGACCACTGGCTCCTGTGGTGACCTGGTTTAAATAATTGCATAACACTCCCCCCTCCAGTGCTAACAATGACCCCTCCATCCAAAAAGATTCATCCAACAGTAAGCACACAGGCACAATAGGGAATAGGAATATACAACTTAGGAACACTGAAACATTTTCTGAGAACAGATTGATCTCTGGATGAGAGTGAACTAGAACTCAAGCCACCTAACTGTCCCAGCCACCAAATTGACATTCTTTCCTAATTTTTGACCCTGAGAAGGATATTTCAAAGAAAAGAGAAGTGTTCTACCATAACTAAAATTGCATTCCTGCTCAGAAAACCCACTCCAGCAAAACAGGAAGTCACAAAGGGTTTCAGCTCAGATCAGCAACACATCCCTCATCTGTTAATCAGTGTTAGCCCTGGCACAGTTCACCCTGAAGTGTAAGCACTGGATAGCCCAGGGCCAGTGGCTTCTCACCAAGGATCTCTTGGCCTCTCTTGTGACCATGCAAAGCCCTACCTGCAGGTCTGATGGAGAGGGGGTTACCTGATGCCGACGGGTGAGGGTGCCGTTGGCCATGAGTGAGTTGGCATCTTGTGGTGAGACCCGGACGCGTTCCAGCTGCGCCGAGACATGGCGCCGTTCCTCCTCCAGCGCCCGGGTCAGCTTCTCAAACTGGGCCTCTTGTTCCTTCACAGAGGCCAAGATGCTGGCGGTCGACTCCACCTCTGAGTCGTCCATGAAGGTTAGGGGAGGAGCCGCCGCAGGGCAGGACAAAGAGTAAGGTGGACCACAGAGGGAGCAGAAAGGAGGGAGTAGGTCCCCTCACTGCACACTATTGGGGGTGGGGTGGGTAAGAGAGAGAAGAGAGAAGATCACAGGTCAGAGAAGACAGATGAACTGTTAATCCCCAGCGCCACAGCGCCCTCTGTAGTTTCACTGCAGAAAGCAAGCCGCCACCAAGGAAGCTTGGGAGCCGCCACCAATGCTAGATCCGACAAGGGCCCTTTGCCTGCTGCCCTCTTCCACGCTCCACCACCAACCCCTAATGTCGTGGCAGCTGAGCAAAGTCTCCACACTGTCGGCCAGGCATAAAGGCTACAGCAGAGGGTTAAAATTACATTATTTTTTTCTGGAAATATTTGCAGGCATCAGTCTGACCAAAGTCTTAACTCCCTGGTACAAGGAGACACTTACTGCCCACAGGGACACAGCAGTTAAGAATGGAATCAGCCAGGTGTGCTGGTGCACGCCTTCAATCCCAACACTTGGCAAACAGAGGCAGGCAGATCTCTGTACATTCAAGGCCGCCTGCTCTACAAAGAGTTCTAGGATAGCCAAGGCTATCCTAGAGAAACCTTGTCTCAAAAAAAAAAAAAAAAGCTTAAAGACAAAAGAACTTAAGCCTCCATGTTTCATACGTTTATGAAGAGGCCTTCTATCTTCTAAAACTTTACTACATTATAGAAAGCAAACTGCTAGATGAAACAACACAGTGATAGAACCACAGAACACTATTTTAAAAACCAGCTTTGCTTCTAGTTCTGTCTGCAGTATGGGCCTGCCTTCTCAGGAGGCAGAAGATCACAGCTTCGTGGCCTGACTGCGCTACAGAAGCTTGTGTCCAGCCTAGGCAACTTAGCAAGATCTTGTCTCAAAGTTTTTGTGGCCAGGTGTGGTAGCTCATAATTTTAACCCCAGCACTTGAGAGGCAGGTACAGATGGATCTCTATGAGTTCAAGGCCAGCCTGGTCTACAGAACAAGTTCCAGGAGAGCCAGAGATACATAGAGAAATCCTGTCTCAAATAGATAGATAGCTAAAGTGTGTGCTGCTGAACAGCAAAGTATGGGAACATTTTTTTCTCCCTTATTCCCTATTCTCTCACCAACCCCCTAAAGAAAAGACCCCTAAAATAATTTTTAATTCTTAACAAACACATATTTCATACACACCTGTTAGAGGGCCGTAACTGATTGATTGGTCTAACACAGAGAGCAGCCCAGTCTAGATTCAAATAAATCATGGAAGCACCCAGCCACCTCAGCAAGCAGCAGGCAGGAAGAAGACAGCTGCAGAAATATTTGGTGGAAAAATGAGAACAGGAAGAAAATAAACTGTACCCAATGCATAAACACAAGAGGAGTAAGGGGAGGTATTAGAAATGACAGGGGGTTATTTAAGATGCAATTTCTAATTGTTTTATGTAAAAATACCCTGTAAAAATACCCTTTCAACTTTGCTGTGTTCAGATATGTGGGCTCTGGATGTAGGGTTAATTAAAGCAGAGACTGTCACCTACACTTCCTCTACTAGTAATCCACGCAGAGACAGACTAGGTTATACTGTACATAAAACTCCACATATCCTCTCTGTCAGGCAACCAATTTGGGGGTGATATTTGTTGTTGGAGTACCCAACCTCCTCCTTCCCACCCTTAAGGCAGAAACCTCCAGGCCCAGTCCCAGCATGCCCACAAAGACATTGAGAAAGCAGTGCTCTAGTCATGGTAGGGAAGGCATGTGGGGACTAGCCTAGGCCTTCTGCTTAGGCTCCTTTCCCACGCTTCCCAGAGCCCCACCAAACACAAAAGCCTGGGCCTGTGTGACTTAAAATCCAGCTAGCAAGAGTACCCAGGGCACATTGATGAACAGGTGCCCAGTAAACTGAGTTAATGCAGTCACTCAATCCAAGAACATGCTCAACTGTCTCTAAGTCCCTCCTACCCAGCCCTGGGCGCCTACAGCCACATATCAACCACTGTTTTTACTCAGCCCAAAGCCCAAGGCCACCTTCTCATTCTCCTACCCCACATCCAAATAGCCACCCAAAGGGCTTCCTTCAATAAGTCCTTTTTTTTTTTTTTTTGCTTATGTTTGTTTGTAACAGTCTTCCAGGCTAGCCTCAAGCTCACTGAAGCTAGCCCTGAATTGCTGATCCTCCTGCCTCTACTGCCCAAGCTCTGGAGTATAAGAGTTTTTCACCATTCCTGGCTTGTTTTAATTGCTTCCTTGTTGTCCCTATTTCTTCATGTCAAACGCTTGCCCTCATCCACTATGTCCAGTGACCTATGAACCTTCTGCATCAAGAGAGACTTCCAGTTACTGACTTTAAACAGGGCCTGGACTGCAGCTACACTGTGGCAGCCTCCGCCCTGTAATCTTCTTGCTAATAAAAGCCCAGCCACCACTGTGGGGCACAGAGAAGCAACACTCCCTGCCACAGAGAGACAGGGTTTGTAGCTATGCCATAAATGACCACTTTCTCTCCCCACACTTTAATTTGATACAGGGAGCAAAGGAAAGTTAGAGGAAACGCTGAGGAACCTAGGTTACAAAGCAGGGTCTGGAGAAACATTGCCTCCACCACCCCAGCTTCAAAGTTGACCAGACGCCTCTCAGAGGAAAAGACATTCAAGGAGAAAAAGGGGTCATGCTCCTAGGTCTTTAGCCATGGACAGATTTGTGTTTTGAAGAGAGAAGCAGTGGCTCTGTGAGACAGGATACAACTCACATGACTGGTCCCAGTCCTGGCTTATGCTACGGTCATTCTTATCTGCGTGCTGTCAATAGCAACAGCCCATTCTAGGTCAGAGCTTCTGTGAAGACTGCGTGAGATAGTGTGTTCTACGAGGTGACGTGTTAAGTTGTTTCAAGAGTTAGTTTCAGTCTTCCAATTACATTACTTCATGGTAATGTCTCAGCCCCAAACTATTTTGTAAAGTACGAGATGAAGTTAATCGGATCAAGAACACAACTGAACTGCACAGAGCAGATGAGCTGGTTCCTCTACTCCAGCTCTATGGACGACGAGGTCTTCACTAAACCAGTGTTTCTGGGACAGAGGGTGTCTCTCTAGTACCTGTCACTGTGGCAGTACAAATCTGCAACACTAACTCTATTTCTTCCTCAGGGCCTTACCAGTTTGTTACCTCAACAAAGAGAACACAAAAAAATTTCCAATGCCTGAATGGCTTACATTTATTGCCTTGGCAATCACAGAAACCATAAGGAAGTTCAGTTTTACTGCAAATGTGAAAACAGACTCATAGGTGAAAAAATTAACCAACTTCCTATAGTTTGTAGCAAATTTAGAATTTAAACCCAGGGCTAGAATATTTCTAAAGCCCACATTTTCTTCTATATCGTGCTGCTTAAACCCAAGTCCAAGCAGGGCATATTGACAAATGCCTATATTCCCAGCATGTATGAGGCTAAAGCAAGAGAACTACAGGTTCAAGCCCAGCCTGAGGCTACAGGCCACCCCCCTTTCTCAAAAAAGAATGAAGGAATGAATGGTCCAAGGCCCTTTGACCTACACCTTCCTAACCATTATAGAAGAGGGAGGGGGAAATATCCATGTCTGTATAAATGCAAGGAAGAGAAAAGGAAAGCATATATATGGGAAGCTACAGCTATGACATGACAAGCTATAGCTGTCTTATGAGCAGAATGCTCATAACTTGATGTCTCCTCTTCCCGCCACACCATAAAGACTGTGCTAGAGACCAGTGTGCAAACCACTAACTGACTTTGGCTAGCATCAAAAAAGTCCTCTAAGATATACCTGGTCCTACAGCCCATGGGGGTCTCCCATTCTCTGAGGAGAAGGGAAGGGGGGATAGAAGGAAGGGAGTGTAAGGGGGGATTGGGGGAAAGGAGAGACTGCGATAAAAATGAAAAGTGAATAAATAAATGAATGCATTGAATAAATAAATAAGGGAAAAGTTCTCTTAATCTGGTAAAAGAAAGAAAGAAAGAAAGAAAGAAAGAAAGAAAGAAAGAAAGAAA